TATGACAGGGGGTAAGACAGTGGCCCTGGGCCAGAACCAGGCTTCCCCCGAGATGGGGCCACCTACCAGGCCCTGCCTGCACCAGGCCTGGGCCTCGGCACTTCCCTTCCCTCTGTCCACCCATGCTGCCAGGAACTAAGAGCTCCAAATCGACCTGTGGGATTTCCAGGTGGAGCCTCCCAAGCCGAGTATAGCTGATTCCAGTGTCCAGAGAACTGAAGTCCAAGCTGATCTGTGGACGGATCCCAGAGAAAACTGGAGGACACCCATCCCAGCTGGCCCTGGAGAGCTGACAGTTATGGGTCTTTTCAGGAGACTCCCTGTTGAGTCACAAGGACATTCCCTTCACAAGCCCCAACCAGGACAAGGACACGAACAGTCTGAAGAATTGTGTCTCTGTGTCCAAGGGGGCCTGATGGTACCACAGTGGCCACCATGCAACCTGAACAGGTGCAGCCTGCCTGGCTACCCAGGGAGCTTTATACTAAGGGCATTGACTGGTTGACTGGCCCAGGACATGATTGCTCCTACCAGGCTGCTGAGAGGAAGATCTGGGCAGCCTAGGCTGCAGGAGAATGGGTGGCTGGCCCAGCACTACCACCCCTGCAGCCATGCCCAGCCAGGGGGCGGTGACGAAAGGGGTCACATCACACATGGAGGGGGAACACACTGAAGGAAGAAGAAGCCCCGTGCTCCGCTGGCATGCTGTCTGTGCTGTGCCCCCTCCCGTCCCTTCACTCCCTCCTGAGCACTGTCCAGCACATGTCCGAGTATGCAGGGACCACTCCATCCACGACCTTAACAAGGGTCAGTCAACCAAAGCATGGGACCTGAGAACACCCCCAGAGGCCCTGCCAGGGCTTGGGCCAAGGAGGCATGTGGCAGGCAGAGGGAAGGCCCCAGGCATCCCTGCTGGCCTCAAAGCCTAGGCCCAGAGAGCCACCAAGACTACCTGACCTCTGGGCCACTTCCCAGAGCACCAGGAGGAGAGAGGGAGCAGGCAGCTGGAGCTTCCAGGACCCACTTCCAGGAGCAGACCCATGGCTGGGGGTGGGCCAAGATCAGCCCTCACTACAGCCCTGCACACACCCTGGCCAAGAGGCACAGCAAGGTCTCCGGGGTAGAGCTCCGCTCCAGTAGCCTCTTTACCACGGCAGCTCTTCCACCCTGGTCCCTGAGGCCACAGAGCAGAGGGGCCACCACTGGCCTCAGAATGCCAAGGGGGCAGGCAGGCAGATGGGAACCCTGCAAGGATGAGGGGCCAGACAGTGGCCCTGCTGACAGGCAGCAGAGCAGATGGCCACGGCAGGCATCAGGGCCTCACCCAGAAGGAAAACAGAGGCCTTGGGCAGACCCTCCCCCATTACATCCGGGGAAACCCAGGCTCAGGGGTCTGAGGCTTGGGGAGATCCATACCTCCCTCACTCTCAGGAGACCAGCCCACCCAGAAGCTTTCCCAGCCCCAGAAAGGTGCATGGGGCAGGGACTGAGGTGCAGCCCTGAGCTCTGGGGCAGGAGGTTACAGCCCCTTGGCCTAGGTCAGTAACTGGGAGCAGCTTAGAACATTGGAAGTCACTTCTCTTCTGGCTGAGGACCAACATCTGCCCTGGAGCTGTGTGGTTCTC